CTGCCTTTTTTAAGAATCCATGTGTTGTGGAAATTGAATTTTCACCTTTTAAGGGGTTATTTTTTAACCTCTTTTTCAGTACTCACTTCTCTCTGCTGGGTGGTTTGGTAGTGGATTTCACTGAACCTCTGCTCCTTAAACTGTAGCCTTCTCTTTCATAATTCATTTGAGTTTTCGCTCCACAGAGCATATGAGAGCCTGCAGTCAATAACTTGCAAGGAACTCACTCAGAGCTGATCATGTGGCTGTCTCTGTGATCTCTAAGCTTTTAGGGATAGTCACTTCCTACAAGTCATTAACCTAGAAGTAGGTGGCCCAGCTTTACTTCAGCCTTGTTTCCCTGTGGGGCAGCCTTCCCCATTCCTTGGGGAAGAACCTAAATAAGTTCTTTTTAGACCCCATCTCTCTGTAGCATCTAAGTAGCCTGGATCAGAATTGTTTCTGTCATTTTCTCTTCTTTTTATTTCTGTTCTGTTTATCACTCAAAGAAAAGTCTATCTTGGTTTTTTGAGATTAGCTATCTCTATTTAATTTTTATTTTAAAATATATTTTATATATCATTACTATGGTTTTAAAGTCAGAGATGGCCTCAAAGTGTAGATTTTTAACAGGGTCTTAGCCAGAGATCTTCACTCTTCATAGGAAAAGTGAACTATTGTATTTTCCTCTTTTTATGCTGTGAATTTCCAAAGGCTCGAAGGAAGACATTTTCTTCCTTATTCACCCATACCTAATAATCTATAACATACTGTAAGCACTTAATAAATATTGAATTATATTTAATGGCTCTTGTCATCTTTTAAACCTGAAGCCAAAAAGTTCATTTGGGAAGTTAAAGAAGAAAGCCTTTATCCTATCCATTTCGTATATTCAGCCATATAAAGGATGAAAGCCTGTGAAGTTGAGAACTCTCTGATATTTTTAATACTTAAATTTTTGTGATCTGCTTTTGGCTAACTACTTAGAAATGTAAGGACATATATCTTCCAAATTTAATAAAATAGAATACCAAGACAGAAATACATTTTATGTCTCACTTATATTTATTTATATGTGTCAATAACTGGGTTTTTTAAGCTTTTTTGTTTTGTTTTTTCTGTTTTCTTTTTTGGTCTGCAAAGTTAAAGTATACATTCACCTAAAAAACTTTCAGAGATAATTGTAATGGTTAAACCAATGGCAACCTCTTGGCAAGACGTGGGGTGTGGTAGGGAGGATATTCAGAAAGGTTCACATAAATTGTCAATGCAGATTAATCTTAATTTTTAAGTTTTAGTCAGATCAGACCTCAATGCACTACTTTATATCTTTAATTATTGCAACTATTTCTGATTGTTTAACTACCCTAATTCATATGCTAAAAATAATTTAAGACAAGGATTATCATCCTCAATCAGTGGTTGCCAATCCCTTAGCCACAAACCAGTACTTGTCCCTGGCCTGTTAAGAACCAGGAAGCACAGCAGAAGGTGAGTAGCAGGTGACTCAGCATTATCACCTGAGCATCACCTCCTGTCAGATCAGCAGTAGCATTAGAATCTCATAGGATCGTGAACCCTATTGTAAACTGCTTATGAGGGATCTAGGGTGTATGCTCCTTTTGAGAATCTAATGATGATCTGAGGTGGAACAGTTTTATCCCGAAACCATCCCCTGCCTTTGTCCATGAAAAAATTATATTCTATCAAACTCGTTCTTGTTTAAAAGGTTGAAGACTGCTGTCCTAAGTAATCCACAAGTGTGTCACAAACACGGTAATATAATTTTGTATTAAAATCATGCTTATTTATATATTTTTAGATACCTTTTTTCATAAAATTTTCACACCAAAAAAATGTATGGGTCAATTTTTCGTCTTGTAGGTGAGGAAATAAACAGTAGCACAGAGGAAGCAAACAGCAAACTGTGATATGAACCCCAGGTTGATCAAAGTTTCAAACTCCTGGCCAATCATGGTTCACTTTCTTACCTATGTTTCAACACTACTCTACAGTCAGTAAACTGTTATTGATTCTACTGGCTTTGATTTTGGATGAGAGGATTAGAATAATTTGGTTGTGTATAGCTTTAATTAAAATGTTTTCCGTTTTATTTACTACAGTTGAAACAGGATCTAAAATATGACAAAATTTTCTAGGGCATCTTTGCCTTCAGACATGGCCATCACAACGCTTACGCTTTGTCAATCCTAAATATAACACAGAGTGATCTTCATGAAATGTATATCTTACTTTTCATACTCTCTTATATTAAAGTAAAGTATATTTAATATAAGAGAGTATGAAAAGTAAGATATATATATATATATATTCATTACAACACTCTCTTGTTTTACTTTTATCATCTTATCTTGGATATTTGTACACCAATGTTCATTGCAGCATTATTCATAATAGTCAAAGTGTAGAAAAAACCCAAGCACCCATAAACAGATAACTAGATAAACAAAATGTGATATGCACGTACAGTGAAGTATTATTCAGCCATAAAAAAAATGAAGTTCCAATACAAACTATAGCATGGATGAACCTTGAAAACACTACACAAGTGAAATAAGCCAGGTGCAAAGGACAAATGTATGATGATTCCACTTATATGAAATATCTAGAATTAGCAAATTCATAGAGACAGAAAATATTCATTACCAAGAACCAGTGAAAGGGAGAAATGGGGAGTTATTGCCTTAAACAGAGTTTCTATTTGAAATGATGAAAAAGTTTCAGAAATATAGTGTTGATGGTTGCAAAATATTGGGGATGTAATAAAAGCCACTGCATTGTACACCTAAAAACAGGTAAAACCTCAAATATTGTTTTATATATGTGGAAACACATGTATATTTATCCCAATTTTAAAAACTATAATATTCCAAAAAAGATTGAGTGTATACTTTTTGATGCATTGTATGATGTGCAAACTTTACCTAAATAAAATTTCTTTTTTTAAAAAAGCTGCTTATTTTGACATACCAAGACATTCAACATCATGTCATTCCCTACTTCATCTCACACCAGTTCATTCCATACTAATATTACAATCATACCCAATGACTCCTTGTCTACTCCATGCTTTTTATGTCTTTATACTAAAAATGTTCTGGATGCTTAGTCCAGAAGAGTAATTTTCAGTCTTTTTGATCTGAGGATTTTACACTCTTAATCATTGTTGAAGACTCCAGAGTCCGTGTATGTGGGTCATGTCTACATCTATTTACCATGTCATTTTAAAAATTTATCAGTTTTTTAAAAGTTAAAACAATGCATCAGTTGTGTTAATCTAAATAGCGCCTTCTAAGAAAAGTAGTTACTTTTCAAAAATAATAAAAACAAAGCATTGTTTCACAATGTCACAAATATATTTAATATTTATCTTACTAAAAGATACTGGATTTTCATAACTGCTTCTTTATCCTCTCTGTTGTGCTGTTTTGGCTGAAGTATGTGAAGAAAATCCAGCCTTACACAGTTATGTAGTTGGAAAAGAGAGGAGTTTTTTAATAATAGCCTTTACAGATAACAGTGTATTCTTTTATACTACACTAACACGTGACAACTGGTTGTTACTTAAAGGTTAGTTGCAGTGTGAAATCTGAAACCCTAGTGATGACCTTTTCATCCTCTATTACATTAAAATTCATTGACCTTTCTTGTACTTTAAATAAATCATTTACTCATGCATGATTTTATCACGTCATTTGAAAATATTGGTTCTCTAAGTTATGCTTATCTTCTAAATGTTGACACATTTCATTATGCGATACCCCAAAATCACATACAGTAATATCACCACCATCTCACCAAAAAAGCCTGTAAATATTGAGAAGCTGTCAAGATTACTGTGGTGGATACAAGGCTTCTATTCTTCTAACTTTTACTTCACAGTTTGATTTTTACTATTTGCAACACATACAGTAGGTCATTTACCTTGAAATGGCACACTCATTGTATTCATTCTTTCAGAAATGTCCACCATACATGCAGGCTTGAATAGTTATAGTTATCTAAATCTGTATGTTTTATTAAAATTATTAATAAACTGGCTTTAGTATAGAACTAGGTACAGGCTTTCAAAAGAATAAGATGAAGTCTCATGTAATAAAATAAAAGCTTTGTAACATATAGTAAGAAAAAAAGCAGTTAGCTGAATTTTATAATTAAAAATGATACACATGCATACTTATCAAAATTCTGGGGGCATGTTACATGTCAGTTATGGGTAAGTAAATGGGATTGATGATGTCATAGATAAGGCAGAAATTTCATATTTAAATCCATATTCTTTGAACACTTTACAACAAATTTATATGTTATTTTGCAATTTAGAAAGCAAAGAAAAAATCTATCTCAGCATAGGAAACTTGGAAAAGTGGAAAATATACAAAAATAACACAAAGACGCTGAGGAGAGAGAAGTTATGTGAGATAAGAAGATTTTTTTTTAAAGTTGAATGACAGGAAAAATGTTTTCCTGAATTATGTAAATAATCCACACTGAATATTATGCTTGAATAATTATGTCCATAAAAATATTAGATCATTTCTATAATATTTTCTCATCAAGGCCACTATACATTTATATTATATATATGCACACAAAATAATCTCTGATATTTGCTTGAGAAACTATAAATAATGGAATATTACTAGACGGATATTTTTAAAAATACAATTTCTCCCACTAGAAAAACAATCAATCAGAACAGTTTTATACTGAAAAAGTATTTTTCATTAATTTTAGTGCAGTTACTTATAAGAAACATGATAAAACATATTAAAATTCCATGATTAGAAGCTAATAATCATAACTTACATGCCGTACATGCTACCAGTTAATTGCTTCCTTGACATTTTGGGGTGGTCAAATGATATACTCACATTCATTCCTGAATATAAACTCTGGGAAAATGAAATTGCTACATGAAATTACCACTATTATTTCCCTAGTAATCTAAATGATACTCATTTCCACCAATCTATTTAAAATTAAATTGTTGTACTTACTTTCAACGATTACTTGTCTGTCTTCCCAGTTATCTTTAATAAGCTGTATATTTCCAAAGTGTGCATCACTGTAAAAGATTCGGTTGGTACCTTTTCTTTGTTGATTATAGTCAAAAGCCAAGGCTATGACATTCTTGAAATAATGTGGATTCTCATATGGCCTTATTGGGGAATTTAAATTGGTTTCATCAGAAAGATGTATACTTTTTAATATTGTTCTTCCTGAATAGAGCAAATAGCCTTCATGCCTTAAGCAAGTAACTCCATCCTCTGCCAAATATCCATGGGCACAAGCACAAGTTCTCCGGGAATTTCCTCGATAAAGACAGAGTTGCTTACAGCCACCATTGTCCCTGGCACAAATATTGGTCCCTAAGGGAGAAAAAAATATATATACACATGCACATGTTTATGTTTTTCAAACAAAATTCTCCACATAGAAATATTAAAACTTTGATGTTGAATATTATTTTTATTCTTAATGTAAGCTAGTCAATAAAAAATTTTTAAAAACTGTTTTTTAAAAAATCACAGCTGTTTAAAATCTTGAATTTCTTTATTTGGAAAATCATATTCTGTTTTATTCACCATCCAAGTAAATCATTACATCTTTTTCCTTAATGGGTCAGTTAAGTATATACATCTTCTTCGAAACTTGATCCTCAGCTTATAATATTTCATATACTGTTCATTCAAAACATGAATTGATTTAACCAAAATAATGCACTGCTTTAAACTCTATGAGATATGTAAAGTATCAAATAAATGCCTAACCTCCTACATGTATTGAGCGTAAGTTCTTACTCCAATTTTGAGTGAAGATATAATATGCACTTTAGATTTCTTCATCAGGCTAATTCTCCTCTCTGATTTCACTATTATTATTTCCAATATTAATATACCTTCCTTTGATAGAAAAAGTACAATTTATTTTAATGAAGGTAAACAAATTTAAATACCCACATCATTGTCCTAGAAGTTTAAAAATAAGTATTTTAAGGAAGTAATGATTTTGGAAATATTTTACACAAACAGCATCATCTTTGGGGACCATAAACACTTATGTATAATATGATTCATATAATACATAAAAATTTCAACTTCCTTTTACTCTCTAATATCCTACTTATGCATAATTTTTTAGCCAATCAATACATGTATCAATTTTTTCTATATTCCTTAGCCAAAACCTGTAATCAAGATATGCCAGGTATGTGACATGTCCATGTACCTGTGCTGTCCTGGGCAAATATGCCTTTGTATGAACTATGACATATTTATTGTATTTGGCTACTATATGATACTTGCAGGAAATCAGATATAAATAAAATAAGATTTTGAGATTTTAGACTCATATAAGGATTTCTAAGTTTGACAAATGCTTTTAAAAAGTGGAGAGAAATCAAATAAAATATACATATTATATATTCTTTTAAGAGTGCTGACCTTTCTCTCTTACTCGGTTAAAGATTTTAACCTCCTTCAGGTTAACTCCAAGGCCAGTTCTCATGGTTACCGTTTCTGTGGCATCATTCTTGTGACCCCTTCTGACAGACCCGTTTGCATGTGCTCTGCCAAAAAGTTAAACATACATGATCAACAATCTTTGACTAATTAAAATCAAGCCAGTTACCTAAGCTGAAGATAACAGATGGACCAACAGAAGGAAAAGAAACCAACATTAGTCTGTGACATTGAAACGATTGAGCTTGGAATAGCAAAAGTGCCTGCCTTTTCTGTGGAAATTACATGGCTTTGTGAGATCCTTTTTGTGACCTTGCTAAGAAATGGCAAATCCTACAAGGGTAAAGCAACTGGTACTGAAATAACATTTTGAGACTCAAATACTTATGAAGAAATAAATTACCTGTCAGACCAGTAGATGTAAGCCCCAAAGACTGCAACGGAAAACATATCCACATTGTTCCCTGACAGCACCATCTCGCGATTCCCTCCAGTCTCAAGGTCGATTCTCTCTATCTTGTCTGTGCGAGCATCACACCAGTACAGTTTATTTTCCTAAATATCGATTGAAAAGTAACATTACAGACTATTTTTGATTATTTTATTAAGAAAATAAAGGAACACTAAAAGTGGGTTAATAAAAGCTGTCAGTTAATACACTTGAAGTACTTAAAAGAAATCCATTACAGACTATTTTTGATTATTTTATTAAGAAAATAAAGGAACACTAAAAGTGGGTTAATAAAAGTTGTCAGTTAATGCACTTGAAGTACTTAAAAGAAATCCAACCGACCTCATAGTCAATGGAGATGCCATTCGGCCATGCTATTCCCATGCTTACAAGGACGACCTTCTCTGAGCCATCCAAGCGAGCCTTTCCAATACAGGGCATTTGTCCCCATTCAGTCCAGAACAAGAGGCTGAAATTACATTGTTAGTTTGTAGTGTTTATGCATATTTATTTGTAGTATGCAGAGCTATACAAAAAGATATTACTACTAATAATAGAGGTAACATTCACAATAGAATAAAAATAATACATTTCAGAAATTGATGTACAGTATGTTTACTTTCCAATAAAATAATTTTATTACAAATAATAGTTACATAGTCATAGATAGCATAGGATGCACTCAATATCCTACCAAAATACCTTTTGGACATTCTATTTCCTGTCTCAAATGCTCTTCTCCCACCTTTTTGCATAATTATCTCCCACTTTTCACATCTCAGTTATTTCTTTCCAGAAGTTTTCTGGGTCTTCCCTGATTACTGTACCATGTACTCTGCTTCATAACAGATTAGAATGGCAAATTTCCACTTATATTTCTCACATTATCATTTATTATTAATATTTTATGTCCTCACTAAACTGTAAGCTCAATAAGGACAGTGATCACTTCTCTTTCTTTTTTCATTCACTATTGCTCCTTCAGTACCAGGTAATTAGAAATTTAGTAGTAAATATACACTTAATTTATGAATTTATACATGAATGCATCATAACTTTCTATTTTGTCCACTTAGATTGCTAAATGTAACTATTCTAGTTTGGATTTTATTTTATCTTGTGAAGTCATCCGAAAACAGAGTTTTATGCAAAAGCAGAAATTCTTATTTTAGTAATCTTATAAAACAAAATGTAACGGGGGAGTAATGTGGAAGAAAATAAAATGCAGAAAGAACACAGAGAGTATGCCAAAAGAAAACAACATGTCATAAAATATAATGTAGAAAAACAGAATGTATATAATCAATGTATCTCACTCATTCATTCAAAAAATTCAGTATTTATAGGACTATACAGAACTCCATGCTTTTAGGTAAATATAATTCCTTCTTAATTTGAAGTTGCATCTATTGAAGTGTTTATCCAACTATCAGACATCAGCAGTGAATAAAGTTTTTAAAAATATGGCAAGCATTGATTCAAAAACTGGGTACATATTATCTCATTTAAAAATTATTTAAATTATTATTATTTAATGGGTATATTGCACCTAGATAGTGAAAATAGTACCTAAGGGGTAGTTCTCCCCCCAAGTAGTCCACAGTGCCTATTGCTCCCATGTTTATGTTCATGTGTGCTCAATGCTTAGCTCCCACTTATAAGTGAGAACATGCAGTGCTTGCTTTCCTGTTCCTGCATCAATTCATTTAGGTTTATGGCCTCCAGCTTCAGCCATGTTGCTGCAAAGTGGATGATTTCATGCTTTTTATTGCTTCATATAATTCCATTTTATATATGTACATTTTCTTTATCCAATCTACCATTGATGGGCACCTGGGGTGAGTCCATGTTTTTGCAATTGTGAAAAGCAGGGTGAAGGACATATGACTGTATGTGTCTTTTCAGTACAATGATCCATTTTCCTTTGGGTGTATACCCAGTAATGGGATTATTTGAACAGTAGCTCTGTTTCAAGTTCCTTGTGAAATCTCCAAGTTGTTTTCCACAGTGGCTGAACTAATTTACATCCTCACCAACAGTGTATAAGCGTCCCCTTTTTCCTGCAGCCTCATCAGCATATTCGAATAATATATGTGAATAGTCATGTAAGAATCAGATTACATACAGAAAAAATTAAAGACATATTTTGTTTATATTCAATAGAGTTATTTAAGTACAAATTGATAAACTATATAAAATATATGTATTATTTATGTATATTGTTTTAATTTGTTTTAAAAGTCGACATTTTTTTCTTGAAAATGCTGTGTGAAATAAACATGTTAGAGTTTTCCAGACAAACAAAATGAGGTGTGGCTACAATCTCAATTCTATAATCCTGAAGAAACTTTCATTCATATTTACAAGCTTTAGAAATCAGAAAGGAAAAAATTTTGTAGCGTAAAATCCAACTAACATTTTGTTGGTAAGATATTACTGAAGAAGACATTTAAAAATTGGCCGGGTGCAGTGGCTCACACTTTTAATCTCAGCACATTGTGAGGCCAAGGCGAGTGGATCACGAAGCAAGAGATCAAGACCATTCTGGCCAACATGGTGGAACCCCATCTCTACTAAAAATACAAAAAAATTAGCTGAGTGTGATAGTGCACGCCTGTAGTCCCAGCTACTCGGGAGGCTGAGGCAGGAAAATTGCTTGAACCCGGGAGGCAGAGGTTGCAGTGAGCTGAGGTCTCACCACTGCACTCCAGCCTGCTGCCTGGTGAGACTCCGTCTCAAAAAAAAAAAAAAAAAAAAAAAACTACACTTTTATTAAAGTCAAGATGTTTAAGACTTTAAGGTATGCTCTCACTGGAGAAAAAAATATTATTTAAAATAAAATAACTAACTGCCAAATAAAATGTGTTGCTACACTTAACTTTTTAAGAAAAAATATGTTTTAAAATGGCAGGCGATATACTGTGAAGGAGGCAATTGAGACCAGACAGAAGTGTGCTTACTCATCTAATCAGATTCTTGTTATCTATTTTTAACATATTCCAAAGTTCAAACAAGAAAAGAAATGCATACAGTAAACATTTTACTTAATATTAATCTATTTGCAAATGCACTAATAAAAATATTATTTTCAGTGATCAGACCAGACAAACTAATCGGTGTACAAATAATTGTGGCTTTTGCTATTAAAAGTAATGCCAAAAATCACAATTACTTGTGCACCAACCAGCCTACTAAGCCCTAATTCTCACAGCTATGGTAATTATGGATTAGGAAGTAAATGCTCCACAGTCCACATGGCCAATAACAGGGCAAGCCCAGAACTACACTCAGGCTTTGCTAATCCAAGCCTATATTGTCTTCCCTAGAATATGTTGCCTCACCAAATAGGAAGATAATACAGCAATATATAACAATATTATAGAAAACATGATTTTTCATTAGCTATAAGAAGTGTAACAAGAAATCTCCATATTTAAAACCACAAAACAAAGCACAAAAAGGTCTTAGCAATAAGAAAGAAGTCTCTTTTTTTTCCAAGTAATATTTATCCATTTTAAATGTGATGCTTCCATGCTGAGATGAATGTAAAAAATTATGTATAAAATTATGCTAAGTAAAAGTATTTTCAATCCAGTTTACACAATTTTTTCTATAGAAAACAGTAATAATTGGATAAACTATCATTATATGTGAAGCCAAATCTTACTGTGTAGAAATCACTTTACAGTTAGATAATTTATCAAAAAATTTAAAATATCAATAAAATATTTTAAATTTATCAAAATTAAGCAAACATTTTATGTCAAGCAAAAAATGATTTGTTTGCTCCTTAAACTGAAATTGAAAGTAAAGAAATGAATAGAATTTGCACCTTAAAACCTTTGGGAATTATAAACCAAATGTAGAGAAAGAACCCTCTCCAAGCTTGTAAAACAGGAGGAAGAGACTTGTAATTTAAGATGATCATTTACACAGATGCATCTGATATATCATTAATAAACATAGATTCTTCAATTCTAAATTTGGTCTTTATCCATAGGAAGAAATGAAAATATTTGCTCCTGGTTTTTGAAACCCTACTGATACTAACATTGAGTGATAAAATTACGATTGATTCTGAATCTATTTGAGTTCAAATTTTGCAACTGTGAAATATGTGTTTACTATATGATAGAGCCAAGAAAACTAACTTTAGAGTATCAACTTGGTACATCTAGCCCTGAAAATACTTTCTCAAATCCAGAAATTATTAAAATTGTCCAAACTAATGCTACTTTGTATAATTAAATAATAAAGTAGTATTTGTTAAACTAAACCGAAAACTTCTTTATTTAAATAAGATTGCACTTAAATAATTTAAAAACATAAAGTTTTAAAAGGGACATTAAAAAGTGGCTTTCAGAATTACAGAAATTCTATCAAAAACTGTCATAAACAAATATTCTATGGTCTTAATGAGACTACAACAATTTTGGTCAGGAAAACAGTGCATTGAACACATATCATGAGTTAATTTCCAACTAATTATTGACATTTGGATAACAGGTAAAAAGATCACATTTGGTAGTACTAGAATGTCTAAAGGCCTAGTAGACTCTTGATGGACCCTGAAAGTTAATTGAATTCACCATATGGCAACTGTACAAATTGGCATCAGAATTAGTTTAGATATGGGTAGGCTTTTCAGAAAAAACTTTTGTTTTTTTCTGTCACAGGTAGTTATATTCAAGCTGAAAAATATACTTCAACTTATTATAAATGCCCATAAATAAATTTGAGAAAGCTAACACTGGTGACAAAGCTATGATTTTTGTGGGAGAAGAATAATGGAGTGTGAGAAAAAATGAATAAATGAATCGAAGTTTTAAAGGGAAACAGGATTAAATGTTATCCTTTTACTTCAGATATATGAACAGTTGTGAAAAGCAAAACTAATTGGAATTAACCATTTTCTCGGGATTTAAAATTGTCTTCCTTGACTGCTAAACTGTTTCCCTGGAGCTCAACTTTGAGTTGCAGTTTTTGCAATAAATGTGCCATTTCTTCCTACTTTATTGCCTTCCCTAAGTAGGTATGATTTAGATCCTTTGTCACATATGATAAATAAAACCTGAGATAACCAAAAAATGCTCATGCTGGCATAAAAATGAAGATCAGGTAATTCTCTTATGTCAGCAGTTGGCCTTGGTCAAGAAGAGAATCGAGAATGTCATTGTGTCCTCTCCTAGCGTGGGGGTCAACAGTGGGTTATCCTATCTGCAAAAAGTAAAAAAAAAAACAAAAACAAAAACAAAAAAGAAAGCAAAGTAAAAATCTTAAAGACAAACAATAATAGTAGGTAGCCTTTACATGAGCATATGCTTTTAATTTGACAAAAGATGCTTGTAATTTCCAATCTTAACCACATTGAGATACCATCTCACGCCAGTTAGAATGGTGATCATTAAAAAGTCTGGAGACAACAGATGCTGGAGAGAATGTGGAGAAAAAGGAACACTTCTACACTGT